GTTTGCTTAATATCGGAAATAGTATCCGCGGAATGTACATACTGAACAATTATTCTTTAGGAATGAAACCATGCTAAACTCCATTAATCTCGTGAAAACGATGGCAATAAATAGTGCCTCCATAGAGACATATTATATCTGCCTGAGAAAATAGCAACGTTTATTTTGTCTATATCCCACTTAAATTGCTTATTAATCATTGTATGGTGTCAAGAGAATATGTTCAAGTCAAGCCATTATCTAAACACTATTAATCAAAATAAATCCTCGGGATAGGATGTATAAATTACCAGGAAACTATGAAACCAATTAATTGCAATACTCATAGAAGAAGACTCTATATTAATACTGAACGAATAACAACGAGATAAAGAACAACGATCAAGAGTTGTTGACGTACTTTCTAAACTATGTTGAAGACCTTCCTATAGGTTACAATACACCATTAGATTTTATGGGCGCAGCCATTTTATGAGCATAACATGGTATTCAGAATTAAGAGTATAGCTAATCCTGATTGGTTGATATGTGCGCCCGTTATTTTTTGTTACTAGAGACTTCGTGCATTCTGCATTATACCAAAGGCCAAATAAATTATTTTCCTTAGCCCTAACGGAACTGAGATGTCTTTTAAACGCTAGGATGAGACACGTATTTTTAAGTGCAAAATTGGTAGGCATGGGAGATGAGTACAAATCACGCTAAGAAAAGCAACGCGAACCTATATTTTTTGGACCAAAACATTCTGTCCTAATAACTTTTCTTTAATTCTAGCAAGATTTCGTTAAAAAAATCAACTTTCTAAAGTCTGTATCTCAAAAAAGGCTATCATGGGGAAATTAATTGTTTATTTCAATCTTTAATCACAAAGTGATTAAAATTGTTCTAGAGTTGTCTCTCTTTGTCTGTTGTTAATTGTAATTCACAAATACCAAAATTAAAATACTACAGACTTTCTGTATATTATACTCATTTGTGTAGAGGTTCCATCCTCTGTTTTTCATTTATAACTTTTACAACTTATACAAAAACAATCATTCTAATTACACATACATTTTATTACACCAACTTGTATTTACATTTTCATGACTAGAATATACATTTTTACTTTGTGGCATTACTTTGGCTACAGAGTATTCTATAATATTTTGTTGAGGCGCCAGGGTGACTACCGATTACCTATACACAATGGCTATCAGCTGACCTATGTTGACATAGTGTCATAAAACCCCTGGTAGTTAAACACGGTTACACCACCACCTACCATGGGGAGTGACCGGGGAAAACACTTGTATTACCAATGATCCAGTTATTAGTGCTCCACCTGTTGGCAGGTGTAGGCCTCCCTTCTATAAGACGAAGTGGAGGAGGTCCCAGAGTTACCCATCTGTAGACCCCACCGTTACCACTAACCACATTTTCCAAACCTGCAAATTGTAGAACTTGTCAGGCCCAGAGCAAGGGCCGAGTGAAATAATCCCCCAATCACTACCAGTCTCCCTGGACCGCCACATGAGAGCCCAAGTCAGCTACCAAATCTGACTTGGGTTCTCACCTCCACAAAATTTTCATTATTGAAGCATTGGAAAAGTTGAAATTGTTGTGCGTAGGAAAGACTCAACCCCCCTTGTATATTATTTAAGAAAACCTGATTTCCAGATTGTGATAAATGAGTTCCATCTGTTCTGTATAAAGACACTTCACTTGCCCTAATATTCTCATGTAAAATAGCTTTACCCCCATTTTCTATTACAAAGTTTTTGACCACTGAGTTCACTCTTTTTCTCTTCTGTTCGATTATTGCGCCCGCATTCAAGGGTGCAAAATGCCAGTATCTGCGCTGTAACATTGAAGACCATGTTATAATAACATTTTTAAATAAAGCCTGGTAACGTAGGATAGAACATTTTTCAATTAAACCCTTACCTGTCAATTCTAAATCTGTCAAATCATTAGCTCCACAGTGAATAATAATAAAATTGGGAGAAGGTAAAAATTTTCTTTTTGCATCCAGCAGGGAGTCCAAATTTTTAATCTGTAAACCAGGTTGCCCAATCCAGTATGTTGTAACACCTTTGGACTCCAGTCCCAGGTTGGTCCTCCCATATTTCTTCGCCTCTATATTGGCCCAATGAACAAGGGAACTCCCAACAATCCATAAAATCTTGGGACCTGTGAAAACTTGTAGCTTGTTAGCCTTTTGAAACTAGAAAAATTGCAACCTAATATAGCGAGAATAAGCATGCGATTTCCATCTACCTAATTTTATAATTACCTCCTCTGAGACCCCCTGCCTGGCTAGTTCCATGGCTCCCCCAATTCTAAAACTATGTGACCTAAAATGACCTTTACTAATATGAAGAAAATGTAAAGCCTTTTCCAGTATACTGCTGAATTGGTATCTAGTTAAAGGCATACCATTATAATGAATAAACAAATCTTTATTGTTACAGGTAGGTCGTGCCTTTAAGTATTCGTTAATGAGTCGTATCGGACAGTAGTTTTTTCTGTTCTCAGGTATCAATAAAGTAACGGACTTTCCCTTTTGGTCAGTTTTTGACCACCTTACTCTTAGCTCCAGGACTTTTTTCTTAACTAAAATATCAGAAATTGTTAAGTTGGAGCCATTTATAACAGACTTAGTTTTTGAAGTAGTGATTTCCCCTACCCTTAGCAAACCAAAGAAGGCAACTGAAAAAACTGCTGAAAATAAAGCAGCTTCATATTTATTCTTACATACTTTATCTTAACAACCTATCATATCTGCTAACAATTGCACTGTAATTGGTGCTCTAATGTCATTACGTTTCCCTCCTTGAATTCTTTTTATTCCTTCTAATGCCTTGCCAATTATAAAGAATTTTGTAGTTTCCTGTATGCCTTGTATTTTATGATGGTATGAAACTCCTGATATATAAGATGATAAAGTACCCCCAGAAAGACCTTGTACTGACAAAAAAGCTATAAAATTTAGCAAATCGTTGACTGGCACTGGCCAATGCTGTTTCAATGTGTAAGATGATCTAAAATTACAAAGTTTTGACAGAGCCAAATTGTATGATTTTTGTGTATTTTTGGACACACCTTGATTGACAATATAATCCGCCACCTGACTTAAATGTTCCAGATCTGTGTTGGAATTTTGGTTGGCCACTGGTCTGCTTCTGGAGCTAGGCTTCTGAACTTCCCCCACTGAGAACGAGAAAGACAATCAGCAATTTGGTTTTGTTTTGAAGGGATATAAATTGCCTTAACTGACGTATTGTTTTTTAAGTTCATTAAAACCATTTGTCCTACTCAGTGTTCTCCATTTTTCACTAAGGTAAGGTGGGTCTTTTGAAAAAATCACTTGCAACCGGTCGATTTATTTTTTTTATACTTTTCCAACCGGTTTTTTTACTGTGGGTGTTGTCACAATAAGAATGGTTAGTATTGTATTCACATTTAATGGAATTGAATAGCAGATGGCTTTTGCAGGACACCCTCCTCCTGCCAAGATTCTGACCTATTCCTTGCTTTAGTGCTGTATTTTTAGTACACAGAACAGTAACATCCTTCTTCTGTGACGATTAGCCATTTAAAGTCTTGTTCATATTTCTCAGCTTGGGAACAACCTCTCAATGCAATGACTATCCCTTTTATGAAGGATACTTTTCAAGAGATACAAATGAGCACATATTTATTTCATTTACAGAAACTTTTTCCAAAGAACTATACATCTATTTGGTATTATATGGTCAATACATGTCTAAGAATTTTGTAATAATCTTGGACTTATATCTACTTTATCATTAAAAAAAAACGTACCCTCTTTTAGAAAAGTTGTTCCAAATATTACATAACTGTACAATGTCTCATGTTTGTTGCTTATAGTTATACTATCATAAACTATTTGATTCGATTTTATAACGAGTTTTCCCCCTTTTCAGTTAAAAAATTTTAGTTTTTGTTTTTTCTTTTCTTCAACAATAAGACGACCTCTTGTCACTCATTTAAGGAATATCCCTCATTAGGGGATTGTTCCCAAACTGTTTACCTTCGCGATCGCTCGCGTACCTTTTCCGTTGTTTTGATACTTTTTTTTTTCAATTTTAACAATTTCAATACAACTATCCGTTTTAGTTGACTTATTTTGCCTAAAGTTTTCCTTATCACCATCGTCATCTGCCTTTTTCTTCCCCCGAATAATAATAGAAAACATTGAAATTTGACGATCCGCCATTTTTGTCAATTAAAACAAATCAGCGAGGCGCGATTAGTATTCAAATTATGGTGCGGAACCGAAAAAAATCTGGATTTTGAAAAAAAAAGCTGACCACCTCCTAAAATGGAAAGGTGGTCGGCTTTCAAAAGAAGGTGGTCGGCACTCCCGGCTTAAATGCCGAATGGAAAACACTGTAATACTAAAGTCATAACTCTACTTGATTTGCTAGTTTTCATATTAATGATTTGAACAACCGCCTGATTATCAACGTGAAAAATAACTTATTTGTTATCAAAATATGATTCCCAGGACATAAGTGCTGCTAGAACTGTAAACAACTCTAACGATGTCATATCTCTGATGATTCCAGTTTCAACCCAATGTTTTGTCCATATGCCTTGGGCCCACTTATTGAGGCCCCCATTGACATCATTTTATTAAGATAATATTCACCCTGAAATTTTATCCCTAACAAGTCAAAATCCTGCCGCTTTTACATCACACTGACTTAAACGGGCAAATGTTTTGTGTCTATTAATCAAACATGCTGCTTCGTCCACTGAACTGTACTGCACTGAACAATGATCTTTATCAATAAAATCATTTATTGAATTATTCTCAGGATAGGATAAATGTTGAATAAGTCTAAAATCCCCATCCTTTTTTGGCACTAGTCCCATTGGTGATACCTGAAATATGGGAAAAGGCGGGTATCTGAAAGGACCAGCAATGCGACCAAGTTTAACTTCCTTCATTAATTTTTCTTTAATAATGTTTGGTAGCTGTAATGCACTTTTTAAATTGGAACTCTCCCTTGGTTCCCTAGAGCCAAAATATTTTAATGAAAAACCATATTTGAAACCAGATATAATTTCATGTGCTACATTGTTATGTGGGTAAAATTCTAAATAATTTTCCAAGACCGATACTTTAACAGGAGTATTTCATAATGAATAAAAATTAATACTTTTTGTTACTTCTTCCTTGGGCCCGGTTATTACATTGGGCCTTTCTGTGTTTACCACTGCATATTTCACATACATGTTTAAACCTACAACGAGGGAAGTAGGGACAGTCATTACCATTATTGTAGTATTTACATGACATATTTACACTTCCACTAGTTACCTGTGATTGTTGATGTGTTCTCGTGTTAGTGTTTGAAAGTGTAGCTGCATTTGAGTTATAATGACCAAGATTTTGTGTATTTGTTCTATAACCCTGTGATTGCACTGACACATTGTTTTGTACTGTGGGAGATGTGATGTGTAATAGCCAATATTCACCGTGTATGTTTCCCCAAGTTAAAGTTGGATTCTTTTCTATTTTTAGCCTAAATTGCTCGTCATAGGTGGCCCAGTTTTCTGACCTCGTTGCCGCTAATCTTATATCGCGCATATATTTTAACAATTCCTGTGCCCGTGTCCTGTATTTCTCAATGAAGACACTCATAAAAACCATGAATGCTGAAGTCCATTCATTTATGGACAAATAAACACCCGAAGATCTTTTTTCAATGCAAATGTTCCCCCTTTTTAATTTCAAATCGCCCTCGTCAACCTCCTACATTTCTTTTTGCGTTCTCGAAAGATAATGAAACTCTATACACTTTCCCTCCAAAATCTTTTCCTTAATTTTAAAAGGCACGTGTTCCCCTACTGTGTCATGAATGCTAGACTTGTGTGACGGGTCGTGCCTAAAAGAGGGGAATGCCCGTGCATCCTCCTCCGACTCATTACCTGATGATATTTCAGCATTTTCTTCTGGTCCTTGTGTCTCCACGTGTCTCACCTCCTGTGTTTTCCTGACCATTCTTTTCCGTCCAACTCCGTCCTTCTTTTGAGTGATTTCTTCGTTCCGCACTCCCTATCCTTCTTTCCTGCTGGTCGTCCTCCTCTTCTTTCCAATGGCCCTTGATTGCGATCCCCTGGCATTTATTTTGTTTGGCATCTTTTCGTTTAAATAATTCAACTAATTTCTGCAGCACCTGCTTTGTTGTCGACAGCAAATTAACAAGTGCCCGATACAGGAATTCCAAAATTCAGATTCCACCTGAGAGCGCCATCTATGGCCATGCCAAATATGGCAATGAGCTAAAGGCTGCAACACCCACACACCCACACAAATATTTGATTGAATTAAACCAGATTATTGAAAATATAAAATTTTGATAATATCTATTATTAATACACTTCTTAATTCAATGTCATATGTTCCGATAAATATATAGAATAAAAAAAACAGTTACACAATGAGCCTACATAAAAACCGTTTACAACCATTTGATAATCCCTTTATTTTTTTTTTGAAAAGTGAAGGAATTTTTTTATGGGGGGTATCTATGATGAGTTATTTTAAATCTGTGCGAATTCTAGACAAAAACACATCATATGCCATGTTCAATAACTCTTGAATATATATTAATAATATTTGGAACTTTGCTAAGAAACTCCAACTCCAACTCTCTCCGGCAAATTTAATCTATAAGTTATATGAATTTTGCGATTCTTTATAGGTCTTTTGGTCATATAGCTCCAAACATTTCTACGTATTTTATACATCCCTACCTTTTAAATGGTCGGGCATTGCGTTTCTGATGAAGGTAAATCCCGAAAAGTGCTTCGGACGCACGAAATGTATAAAGTTTTATTTTCATTTGAGAAAATTGTCACATTTACTATCTTTTGTCAAATTTTACAAGAAATCCCTTGATATTCAGTAATGGCGGACATATAGTATTTTTAATGAAAAAAGCGAATATGACTAACAGGTTCTGGAGACTTGTTGTAATCTACCTTGAAATTATCATATTTTTTAAGAACAAAGCGCAATTAAATTATTATTCGAAAAAAATAAACTTAACATTAACAACGGTATCAATATACCTACAAGATATTGGGGTGCGGATAACGTTCAATCTGAAAAAGCTTTTTTTCATTTCAGCCAAAAAAAAACCTTACTATTTTGAATTTATTTTGACCAATTCATAAAAAATGCAATCATTATATGAATACAAATCTAGCTTATATATTTCTGATTGAAGATACACATATAACAATTTAAAGTATTCGTCTTAAAACTCTGTTTCAAATCTACCAGATTTTGTCCTGAAAGACCGAGGAAATTCAGGTAAAGCATCCCCAGAAGTCAATGATACACTTCCGTCATCGTCCTTTACTTCTTCTGTACAATACGGAAATGGTTCGGATATCATTACACCTTTTGTGTTTGGTCGTGTATCACCGCCATAATGTGAAAAGGATGTTATGGCACCAAATCCAGTAGTGGTCGGTCTGGACATTAACCCAAAACTTAGACCTGTTATTGCTGTCATTCGCGTTATCACTCCATAGTTTCTTTGAAATTCAAAAGGAGGGGGAAGTCTCCCTGGAATGAATATTATAACACCTACAGCAATCGGCTGCTTCATGTCACGGATTATAATTCCTCCAAGTGAAGGGTAATCAAAAAAGCATTCAACGCATATTGGACGAATAGGTTTTAAATCAACAACACCCAGTTCACCTGGACGAAGGAATAAAGGATTTTCTTCAGCGCATTGGCCTGTTCGTCTGTCACATCTTTCCTTTATTTCTAGGAATTTGAAGGCAACCATTGACGTATGACGATGCACAATAGGGGTGTTACCCTTCTTTATTGTACCCGGATGATTTAAAATCATGATCTGAAAATATAAATATGGCTTGTCAAAAGTTAACATAACTTATGTATAATTCATCTTGATTTATCACAGTTAACTGTCTTTTACAAAAATCTATGGATAAATGATAATCAAGTTGTCCTTCAAGTCTCCCGAGAAAAGGACAACAATTTACTTGGTAGATAATTTCCTTAGCTCATTTCCTGAAATATTTAAATTTGGAGGACTAGAAGAAATTTAATTTTTTTATATTACCTGTTATGTTAATTTGTGTGAGTAAGTATGCTTGCTTGTTACTTTGATAAAGAAGAAGGGCAAATGAATAATTTACATGTTAACCAAACGTTGACGACATGTAGATGATTACCTCAGTCATATATTCCCATATAAGTAACTTATTTGAGGGAGGTAATCTATAGAAGGGCATGAGCACAAAACTATTTGGCGGACGGCATGTAAAGAATCATATTGGAGATTACCAAATAAATAACGGAGTCCAACTAAAGAGTAATATTTCTATGACCTATGCAGTGACGTTCGTAAAAATCTGTAATGATTGTCTTTCAACATAAAGCATATGGTTTTAGCTGATGTCTGTTGTTTGTTTTTAATTATATGTACAGTTAGCTGTTAATATTCTAACACATAACCTTATAAAGGGTGTTTAAGGGTTTTTATGACTTGTCAAGTATTATGGCGTGAGGAAGTTCCAACATAACCGATAAAGTTAAGGGAATGTACCTGAGCAGTAAACTGTGTGACAGACTGTGGAGGATCGGCACAGGTATCCCCACATACATCACCTTTTCTGATATCTTTAAGTGTATAATTCTCTATCTGTATCCCAACATTGTCACCTGGCATTGCTTCATCCATACTTCTCTAAATACTTGCACTGCCCGTACCTATATAAACGAAAGGATTATCCGCAAGTTAATTTGTTTCTGTTTGGTATTAAATTAATAATTAAGATCCATTTTGTTACATCTGGTGATCCGTTTATTTGGCAATCGCCATGACAGTCAGCAGTGTTTAAGAACATCCGTTGTTTGACCTGCTTGGTAAATGCGTTTTGTTAAAATATACTTTTTCACTTTTTTGGTCTTTTGGAAAATGTTGTTTGTGCTGTATTTAGACCCCTCTACCAAGAAATTTGTTTTGCATGCACACGTATAAAAATTGCGGTTTTTATCCAACGCAATCATAGGTTTGAACGTTGTTTTCAATTTAGACTTATATATATATATATATATATATATATATATATATATATATATATATAAATTGCGGTTTTTATCCAACGCAATCATAGGTTTGAACGTTGTTTAGACTTGTTTATATTTTTTCGTTTGGGCTTGTATTATATTTGCCTTCGGGTTTATATGATACGTTCATCCTATTTTGACTCTTTCAAAATTTAAGAGTCTATCCTAAATTGAGGTAATTTATATGGCCTTCCAAATACCGTTTCGATTCCTAACATCACTGAAGAGACATTAATTGTCGAAATCCGGATATGGTGTAAAAAATTTTGCACCTCATTTTTGCGGTATACCATCTTTTCCGCAAGTTTATTGTTTTCTGTTTGGTAATAAATTAATAATAAGATCTATTTTGTTACATCTTGTGATCCGTTTATTTGGCAATCGCCAATGGCAGTCAGCAGGGTTTAAGAACATCAGTTGTTCAACCTGCTAGTCAAATGCGTTTTGTTAAAATATACTTTTTCACTCATTTTGGTCTTTTGGAAAATGTTGTTTGTGCTGTATTTAGACCCCTCTACCTAGAAATTTGTTTTGCATGCACACGTATAATAATTGCCGTTTTTATCCAACGCAATCATAGGTTTGAACGTTGTTTTCAATTTAGACTTGTATATATGTATATATATATATATATATATAATTCGTCTAAATAACAGCCAAACAATGTTAGATCTGTAAATTTGCGGAAGCAAATTTTTTGTTCTTCCCTGGCCGGGATTCGATCTCATGCTACTGAGATATCGTGGCACCAAATCGCCTTGCACTATGCTCGACGCGCTAGACCACTCGACCACCCAGGCTCGACAAAATCAAGCTTTCGGTGGCCGGGTGTTACCTTTCGTCGTCAGTTTTTATCTAGCGTCGTAACACAGTACATGATATGTAAGGCATGAAGATGGAATATTACAGATCAGCTGAATTATCTATCGTAGAGGATCTTTCAAATTAATGTAGGATGCAGTCACAAAAATAATTATATTATAAGTACGTCTGAACTAGTGACAACTCTACGACAGATTGTATCCATCGGATCACCAGTAATGGTGATACAAGGCTGAAAACACATTCTGTATACATAACTGCATTATGTATACAGAATGTGTTTTCAGCCTTGCATTATGTATACAGAATGTGTTTTCAGCCTTGCATTATGTATACAGAATGTGTTTTCAGCCTTGTATCACCATCACTGGTGATCCGATGGATAAAATCTATATATATATATATATATATATATATATACCGTTTCGATTCCTAATATCACTGAAGAGACATTAATTGTCGAAATCCGGATATGGTGTACTAATTTTAGCACCTTTTGTTTGCGGTATACCATCTTTTCCGCAAGTTTATTGTTTTCTGTTTGGTATTAAATTAATAGTTAAGATCCATTTTGTTACATCTGGTGATCCGTTTATTTGGCAATCACCAATGGCAGTCAGCAGGGTTTAAGAACATCCGTTGTTCGACCTGCTAGTCAAATGCTAGTATACACCTGGTTTACAGTTTTAAGTAAACGCGATTCCGACTGTGTTCGGCTGTTTGACTAATGATAATACCTCTGTATATATTTTGCCCGGAAAAATTAGTTTAAGAGTGATTTGTTTACATTGCTTCAGCTACGCAGTTCATGTCATAAGCAATTCGCTCTAATTTTTTTTTTACCTATATACTCTAATGTTATATAGGTAATTTTTTTTAGAGACAAGTGCCTGTGGTTCATGTACATGTATATTAGTCCTGCATACTGGCAAATATGTTTTAATGATTGCATAATTCTTCAGTCAATATAAAGGCAAGAGTAGATTACCGCTGTTCAAAAGTCATAAATCAATTAAGAGAAAACAAATCCGGGTTAGAAACTAAAACCGAGGGAATCAACAATCAGAGGAAAACAACGGAACAACAGAAACACTGAACTGCAATAAAAACAAACGCCAACATACATAGAAACAGACTATTTGATAACAACTGCCAGATTCCTGACTTGGTATAAGACATTTTAAGAAAAAATGGTGGATTGAACCTGGTTTTATGGCAAGCCAAACCTCCCGCTTATATGGCAATATATTTTACAATATTGAATAATTTTCCAAGATTTATTCTAGAATGACCCTGTTTCAAATGTTTGTTCTTCCTTTACATCGACGAAGTATATGACAGCATTTGATGCTCTAGTTTTTATGTTTGCTATTGAAACTTTTTGTTTCAAGTGTACCTAACGGTTTATTCTACATGTCTAGAAATAGGTGAGCAAAATAAAAGTTCAACTTATTTTTAGGTCATGTTTCTGTCTAGATTGGAGTAACTGTAACCAAAGAAAGTCATGACTCTTAATCAGGTCAAAACTGACATACCAGGGGTGTTTTGTATAAAACAAACTTATCAACGTGTGGTTGTCGATAATCTCAGAAGATGTTTTGGATGAGTTGATGAGTCATAACCTGACCCGAGACCACAATTAATGACCCCGCTTTTGTCCACGAATATAGCTTCTTGTTATTTATATAATGTCTTTTTTCTTTATTTTTGTTCTCTGCCTTCCTGATTCATTTCTTAGTTTTTATAGGGTGGAATGAAAGAAGACAGTTGAAATAAATTTTTGGATGCATTATTTTAACTATTCGGTAGTTGGAATGAGTGATTAGACCAGTTGCAAAAGGTAACACTTATAGTTTTCGGAACGTCTCTTGACTTGTCCATACCAGTATGGATATGTTTTGGCTAAATAATGACCTGCATAGAAGAAATTTTCCTAAAAGTTAGATATAATGTGAGACTTGTACTGTACATTACATATACCAATAATTTTGCAAATTTGCAGGTTAATTTTTTTTTAATGTGAAAAAACGTTATAAAGAAATAATAGGGAAATTAATTGTGGTCTGTGGCCACCTTCATCTGCTCACTGGACGAATCAAAATGTGTTAAAAGGATTGGTGTTAATGAAATTGACATCTTTGTGGAATGTGAAAGGCACTCTAAGCGGATGTTCGTTTATCAAAAATGAAAATTCGTTTGATAATAATTAGAGAAACAGATTCTTACATAAATTACTCGTGGATTATCGGATTTATCCAATCTCGATAGTTAAATTATCAATTTTAAAGTCCTCGGCGAGGCTAGGACTTTAAAATTCGATAATTTAACTATCTCGATTGGATAAATCCGACCCACTGATATATATATATATCCCGCATAACAAATGCTTGATCATTAGTCAGCAATACCTCACAATTCATCTTTTTTAATAATGTAAACGAAAAGTTTTATTCATATTTTGATGTAAAGTTAGCTTTTTTCCCCATGTAAAACAGAGTTTAAGACAGACTTATGGGCAACGTTACTGTTTTTCTAATAAATGCCGCAAGGCCGAGAGATACGAAATCTGCCAACCCTTACTTTACATTTCGAGGCAAAAGTAACTTCAAAACCAAAATGTTTTGACTGGGAAGCATACTATAATATTAATTTATTTCTATAAAATATACGGAATCGTATGGCAGGCCGTTCTCGTCAAAACTATTTTTTCGAAAAATATACGCACTGAGATCTCAAAAAAAAATACACACCGAGATTAAAAAAAAATGAAAAGCGCACAATGAGAATTGAAATTACACACTGAAATTTCTAAAATACACACTAAGATTTAAAAATTGCACACTGAGATGTATATGAACATTACTAGTGAATATTTATAATTCAATAGATTTATATTTCAGTCACCTGAACTCATGCCACATACAATTATCAATTGGA